TGAGCAGTGTAGAGTAACGCTTGTTGTTTGTCGTTTCTCTGATCACAAATGCAGACATGGTTTTATGTTTACGCGGTGCGATGCAACGCAACGTGTAAAAAGACAGTATAAGTCATTATAATCCGTAATTATGTCCCCACTGGATGCAACAAATGCCTCGTTTATAATGGGTTTTAATGTTTTTGTCTCGTCGATCTGGCCGGAGAGGGCATCACAATATGGTAATGGGCGTAACATTTCCGTCACACGCTTGAGGTATTCGGCCAATCACAATGCACTGGATAGCTGGCCAATCAGAGCACACCTCGCTTTTCAGACCGATGAGCTTTGTAAAAATCGAGGCGTTTCAGAAAGGCGGGGCATAGAGGAGAAACAATAATGTACAGTATGTGGAAAATAATGTGTTTTTTTAACCTTAAACCGCATAAACACATTTCATTACACCAAATACACAAAACTAATGTTCTTTTTTAGCAGCATCATATGACCCCTTTAAAATATGCTATTTAAAATATTTTTTTCTGAAATTAAATGTCCTGAACTAAATACCTAAAGCACACACACACACACACACACACACACGTCCGGTTCACTATCCTTGTGGGGACCATAGGCGTAATGGTTTTTATACTGTACAAACTGTATTTTCTATCGCCCTACACCAACCCTAAACCTACCCCTCACTTAAAACTTTCTGCATTTTTACAATCTCAAAAAACTCATTCTGTATGATTTATAAGCTTTTGTACCCATGGGGACCTCAATTTAGGTCCCCACTGTGACACAAGTCCCCATGAGTTGCTGTGTATTCAGGTTTAAGTCCCCACCGGTGTAGAAAAACCTGTGCACACACACACACACACACACAATAGGCTATACCAGCCTATTTAATACAGAAAACCCATAATAATATGTGTAGCCTACCACTCGTTCTGGTAGTTTGTTTGATTGCAGTGACCGCTAATACCGTGTTTGTACAGTTTTGTATTAGTAATACTAACTTTTGATATAGTATTTCGCATGGTACATACACGCTGTCGCGGTTTCAAAATGTCCGCGAACGGCGCATGAAATGGTCAGAGAACCACAGAGAACCAACTTAGAGTAAGTTGTAAATAACTTAAGTTCCACAACGCTGTTTACGCGCGGTTTAATGCACTAAAGAACGTCATTGTTTTGCACAGGTTATTCTGGTTTATAATGGAAAGTAAATGTCGCTGTTTGCGCATTTCGCTGCCAGTGTACACTTATTTATACACGAGATTGCAACCATCCACTGCTGTTCCGCGCCCAGCAGCCACCACGTGATGTTTTCGCAAGCTGTATCTGTTGTTAATAGAGCAAACGCTGAAAACAACCATAAAAACATTCTTGCTGGGGCAAGTTTTTACGAATAGCATTTTTCCTTCCTCGACTTTCCCCTTTTTTTCTGAATGAAAAACAACTGGAAACGTACTAGGGAAAGCCCTTGGGACTCTCAAGCCGCGATTGGCTAAAAGAACGCAAGCTCCGCCTTCGGTTGTTAAACCTTGAATCTGATTGGTTGGAATGTGCAGAGAGGCTTCATTCATAAGGAAGGACAAAGAAAAGTAATTTGAGCTCTTGAAAGAGAAAATCCACCAATCAAAATCCTTCCTACAAAGCGAAAATCCGACAGCAAGAAAAGCAAATTAAAGTCAGCAGCATGATTTAAGAAAAGCGAATATATTTTTTCTTTAATCAACGTATTGAGGCCACACATCCACTGTATACGACAAACATACACTGTATATCCCACTGAAATTTGGGTTATAAAATTAAAAGCTTAAGTTTTATTGCTGCCTGAAATTTTATAATTGCAACCTACAGTGATCCTGCAGGGAAAATAGAGTTAGAAATGGCAAATTATTATGGTAAGCTAAATGAATTAAAACAAATACGTTTTTACACTGTATAACATCACTGAAACTTAATATAAATGTATAAAACAATATAATTTCTTAAATTTTTCGTCGTTTCGATGATGAAGAATATGACTCTTTCACTATACTAGCATAATCTGATAGCGGACGTGGCATATATATATATATATACATATATACATACATACAAGTTAGTTATAAGATACTACGTATAAAGTTAAAGTCAGCAGCATGATTTAAGAAAAGCGAATATATTTTTTCTTTAATCAACGTATTGAGGCCACACATCCACTGTATACGACAAACATACACTGTATATCCCACTGAAATTTGGGTTATAAAATTAAAAGCTTAAGTTTTATTGCTGCCTGAAATTTTATAATTGCAACCTACAGTGATCCTGCAGGGAAAATAGAGTTAGAAATGGCAAATTATTATGGTAAGCTAAATGAATTAAAACAAATACGTTTTTACACTGTATAACATCACTGAAACTTAATATAAATGTATAAAACAATATAATTTCTTAAATTTTTCGTCGTTTCGATGATGAAGAATATGACTCTTTCACTATACTAGCATAATCTGATAGCGGACGTGGCATATATATATATACATATATACATACATACAAGTTAGTTATAAGATACTACGTATACATTTTTTCACCCCACAAAATCCTTTGTAAACTCTTTAGACAATAGCGTCTTGCTTCAAATCAAGCAAAAAACATGTCTCGAGCTGTCCAGACTGTGATTTAGCGGTTTGTACGCACGCTGCAGGGTTTTTTGTGAATGGAGCTCATTACTTATGCAGCCTTCTCGCGCTCCATTCACAAACTGCTGCTGCTGCCTATGTCCGTCTTCCTTCCCCTCTCAGTCTGCGTGGATCTCATTAAAACACAGCCTAAATGACCACAAACGGTTAAGGCATGGATTATAAAATGGATGGATATCTGGACCAGCAAGTGCCTTATACTTTAGCTAATGTGAGTATGGCTTTATTCACTTCAAAGCTTCGTTGGGCTTCATGCGGGGATGTTGTGCTGTTCCTCTGTCGTCGTTGCATGTGATTTGTTTTAAGCAAGCGCTGTTGCGCTGAAAACTCTTTTCAGTTTGGGCTGAAACCAAGTAAAACTGTCGCAATTAGTCTACTAATAATTCTATTTCTCCATATGTTGTACGTTGTGCTCAAAGGGTAAAGTTTAATCCTCTCAGCAAACGCTTTTCTCAGTTGTGAATTCTTACATAAAAGGAAATCAAAACTTCCCTTTTCAGGATGCTTGAATTGTGACTATTTGCTATTGTGAGAGGCACTGCAGTGAATTCAGTTTTGATGTAGAATGGGCATAATAACCATCACACTTTGTATGCCAAACATTATTTAGTCTTGACAGTATCCAGTATTTTTGTACCTTGTCATAGTGGAATTATCACTTTGACTATTTCTTTTAAAATGGTTTAGGTTCTCTAGTGGGTTTTAAAATCAATATCCATCCTCATGCTTCTGAAGTTATTTTCTGTGTATGTATTTTTCGCTTACATAATGTAGTTTCTGTTTTGTAGAGGTTGCAAGGAAATGGGCCCCTAAATAGACTGTTGATGGCAACAAAAAGGAAATACATGGACACCGAATTACCCCCTCAGGAATCCGAAGGTAAAGTAGCAAGCAAGTTTAAAAATTTCATAATGTTTTATCTACACTGTATATTGTCAGGACGGTGTCTTTAAAAAGATAGATTTTACAAGTGAATAAGATAATTTATCAAAATGTCAGAAAATTTTTTCTGGTAAACAGATGATGTATATATCAAAAAAGGAAATAAATATTTGAAGCTGGTATGGAAGAATAGATCAGGGTGATAATGATTTCTGTTTCATTTCAGATCTCTTTCAGGATTTAAGCCAACTTCAGGAGACATGGCTCACCGAAGGTATGCGCCTATTCTAAGCATGTATTGTGTCTATATTGCAATAAATATGTCCCTCTAGTGGCAGTGAGCAAGGAAATGTCACAGGAGGACATGCTATAGCAAGTTCACGCTGCTTGGTGAGATTTACTAAACAAAAACAATAGAAAGGTTTAGAATCAGGTGGCTTATCTGCTTAATAAGGCAAGACAGCTGTTAGAAATAATTCATGTTTTCATTTTAGAAATTTAGGAGGAAAAGGTTTTTAATAGGTGTGATAGTCCAATACAGTATTTAATGGCTGAATTTAAGATTTACTGTACATCAGGACAATCATTGTGTCAATGTATAGCTGTAAATGTGTTGCTTTTTAAAAGTTTACAAAAATGCCTTGATTGCACAATGCTGCTGGTTACATTTTATTTGGAAAGTCCTGACAAAGGCTCTTAAAGCCTATACACTCAGGCAAAGCAAACAAACAGCATCAAAGCTGGACAGTCAGGAGGCAAATAGTTGAAATGAACCCTGCCAGAAACAATTTACTGTGTACATGTCAGAGTGTGGAGAACACAAAGGCTGCTCTCAATGAGACCGGGTGGCTGGAACCCCGCTGTTCTGAATGAATTATACATCTGTCCGATAGCAAACCCTCATGTGTATTTTAAGATAATAATTAAGGTGATATAAATGCAATTTTAAAAATGAAATGATAAACAATGATTTTGTCCACGTTGAGCTTATATTGGAGAGAATGTTAATGCATCATTTTATCTTATGCTTAATCAGAAATTAAAACATCCTGGTTGTAATTGCATACAGTTAAGATGACATATGGTAAATACGAGATGCATTATCTTCAGATAACACCTAAGAGTCTGAAATTCAAGGAATGAATTAGGGAAATAACACAATATTATAAACAGAAAAAAAAACATTACTTGAAGGATTTTTTAAATATTAATTTTAATATTTTTATTTCATTTATTTAAATTAAATATACATTTTTATTTAAACATTAAGACATTTACAGGAATCCCTCAATGTTGTTAATGGAATATTTTAAGGATTTCAAAATGCATGGTCAAAACAAAATAAGAGTTCTCAATAAATTTCATCATCCTCAGAGCAGAACTATCAGCTATTATTATGCAGCGTCAAACTGTGAACTTCACACATCAGTCAGGAGACAGGGACATTTTTCAATGACCAGAAACCAGGAACAATAGAGAAGAACACTGAAGTTTAACAGGTGGAGTAGAAAGACACTTTAGCCATGAAGTTTGAACAGTGATTATAGTGTTTTGAGAGCACTTTAATTGTTCACACACACTTGCTCTTTAAAAGCAGCCTCATTTTTTCTGGCCGTGAACTTTTCTTTCTTCTTTTCGGAGGGAATGGCTTATAATCAGGTGGTTATGATGAGTAATTCACTATATTGTTAAAACAGCCTTTAAAGTGCAAAATCCCTGCAGCAGTGTCTAAGATAAAACATAGAAGGGGGCCACAAGTTGTTAATAGAAAAGCTTGTCCAATCATGTGAGTATTCTTTACATTTTAAGACAGACCTCCTGGCTCCTCCTAGGACCTGCTGAACTAAAAAATAAGTCATTCAGGTTCCCTCAAAGAAAAAGGAAACATGTCTCCATGCTTGCACAAACAAACTTTAGTCTTGTGCTGACCTGCATTTCAAAGCCCTTGACAGGATGTTTCTGGAAGCTCACTGACTTGAAACAAACACACACACACACACACAGACTCCCACAGACATTCACAGACACACGGTCTGATGTGACCATGTATGTGTTTGCTTACACACAGACGAACTAGACTGAGAGAGATCGGGTTGGTTTCAGTCAGCCCTGGAAACTCTAAAAAGCTTGAGGGACTCACAGTAAACGGGTTTTTTTCTATCTGTCTAAAAATTGCATGTGCTCCTTTTCAAAAAAGTTGAAGCACGTTGAATGATTTATTGCTTGATCTGGTGGGCCAAATATTGGCTTCAGCTTTGACTCATAAAAACAGCCTTACTAATCCTCCTCGGGGCCTATTGTTCCGATTATTTTAGGTCTACACCCCACAAAAAAAAAAAAAAAAAAAAACTTAAATGACTCTAATATAATTACAGTATAGCAACAGGATAAGAGCAGCATCTATGAAATTAATGTAATTTCTTTGAGCATGCTCAAAGGGGCATCAGTACGGTTTCCGTTACACAGGAAGTGCCAGATTAATGTTAAAGAGATGGATTTAATTCTCCCAATGTTCTGGTTTCTGTGTTCATGGACTACTGGTTAAAAGCGGAGAGAGAATATGCCCAAGAAAAAAAAAGAAGTGTGTAACAAGTGTCACTGTCATATAGGAGCATGCATGACTAAGAGCTATTGCATGTCAGGAATAAAAAAAAGAACAGTGGATAAAGGGGAAGAACCCAAGTTTCTTTTGCTTGTGCCTTTTATTGAGCCATAAACACATCAAGTTTTTAGTTTTAATACACTATTATTATTATTGTTTTAGATAAATGCCACCACTTACATTACATTTGCATTAAATTCAGGCTTTGAGGGCAAATATTTTATGGTGCTTTGAGATATTGGTGTGGAATAAATCTGAGAACAAGCCTTACTTGTGCAACTTAGTCCAAAAAAATAATAATTAGAAGAAGAAAAAGCAATATAACTATGACAGGAAATTCAAGGTCGCCATCATCAATATGGATACATTTTAGCACAACTATAATACAATAAGGACAACTCAACTTTTATTTATTATTTTATTTATCAGCATAATAACAATGACTTGTCAGGGCTTTTTGTCCAACTGTATTGAGTGGCAGTCCTTGGAATCATATTCCATTATTGAACCAGTCTGCAAATTTACAAATCCACAAAAAGTAAAGTCAGCAATTCCGCATATTATTATTAATACCCTTTATGGGACATTATTGATTGTTACTGTACATTATTATGCAATCGGTATGTAAGACATATCCATTGCTTGTGTCCGTAGATTTCACCCAGCATGACCTTTAAAGAAACATAGTCATTTGAAGCTCAACAGAATCTATCCACATTTAATTTGGACATAAACACCAAAGAAATGACTGTACGCAATGCCAGAAACATTTATCTTACAATCATACGCATGCCAATAGTTCGATAATATGAAAAAAAAGATCAAAGCTATCTTTTCTTTGTCTGAGGCTCATTAAACTTTAGAAACTGCACTTTTCTTCTACTTTACCTTAGTTATTTTCTCTATTCTTTCTCTCGCTCCCTATCTCTTCTCAAACAATTACATGACCTTAAAAGTCAGCATTCAAAACTTCAAAGCAGGTGATGAATTCCAGAACACTTCACCAAGCAGAGCTGACCAACATTGTCTGAGAATGTCTTTTAGTTTTTTTTTCTATGTGCGCAGGAAGATACATTTAGTATTAATGCTACGCTGCTACATTTGCTCTCTTCTGAATCGTTTCTTATTCTGTTGAAACATGCTTACGATGGATAAGCGAGGTTATTGGCTATCAGCCGAAAGACTGTAAATCCATCAGCAGGATCCAGCTAGAGTGTTAGTGATGGGTAGGGGGAGGACATCACTTCTTGTGGTCTGACATTGATCACTCCTTATTATGTTTAAATAAGGCCTGTATATGATACAGATGTGGGGTGCCGGATGTGCACATGAACCAAGTAAAATTTCTATGCAACATTTTTATCGTTGATAATTGAATTGTAGGTTTTGCATAACGATGTGGCAGAAATCACCCATTTACATCTAAATTTGATAACTTGAGCCCTTCCGCATGCCAGAACCAGCACTGGTGCTCCTTAAAAATAAAAAAAATTTAATAAAAAATTGATAAATAAATAAATAAAAAATCAATCAATTAAAATAAATAAGAAATTAAAATAAAGAATCAAATAAAAAAATAAAACTGTACAAGTAATATGAGTAAAGCTGACATAGTCAAAGATACTAGCAAAAAAAAAAGAGACAAAAATACAAATACAAAATAAAAGGAGAGAGCAAATTTTGATACAAGAGTAATAATAGCCCATCTGATGGAATTCAGCAGTAATCAAGATATCTGCACACACACACACTCAGTGGTGATATTGATCTGCTGCCTGTGGAAAAGTGCTGGCACATGGAAAAGTGGAGGTGAAGGTCACGGGCTGTCCAGAGGCAGTAACTCAGGTTTCACAGGGATGATGAAGTGAGACACAGGCTAGGCTAATGGACAGCCAATCCCTTCATCAAATCACAGTGTCCATTTAGGCTTTGTGTGCTCAAGAAAAATGACTTGGTTTGAAAACATATTTAGGGCCCGAGCACCAATGATGCGAGGACCCTCTTGGAATTGCTCTGTTTCTTGTTCTTCTTCTTCTCCAAAGTGAATCGCATTTTGAGGGCTTGAACATGCTCAAAAAGTCACGAAACTTTGCAAACGCATCAGAACTGGTGAAAATATACATCTGATATTGGTTTCAGAATTAGGCGTGGCAAAATGGCTAGATATCGCCATCTATAAAAATTCAACGAAGTGCCCCTCCTGCTATGTTTCACGTACGTGTACGAAATTTGGTATATGCATGTAATGTCCCAATACCTACAAAAAAGTCTCTTGGTGCGAAGTCCTAAACGCAACAGGAAGTCAGCCATTTTGAATTTCCTCTTTGTGCAGTTTTTGCCATTTTCAGACGTCGTATAACAAACTCAGTTTTAATTGGATCATCTTCAAATTTGGTGAGTGTAATCATAAGGCCTTTGCAATGCTAAATTGCGAAGATGTTGAGTTTTCGTCGAAGGTCGTGTCTGTGGCGGCCTGACAAATTTAGATGTTTCACCATGAAACAGGAAGTTGCTATAACAATGTCTACATCAGCATACAATGTCTGATCTGCCCCAAACTTCACATATTTGATAAGTGAGTCCTGTCCTGAACACATGCCCTTGCCATTATTCAGTTGTAGTCATAGCGCCACCTGCTGCCAACAGGAAGTGGCATGTTTTACGCTGTAACAAACTCCTAGAGATTTAATGACATCAACATGTTAAATTGTGAAAATCTTCAGTTTTCGTTAAAGTGCGTGTCCGTGGTGGCCTGACAAAGTTCGATGTTTCGCCATGAAAATGACGTTGTTGTAACTCAGCCATACAATGTCCGATCTGCCCCAAACTTCACACGTTTGACAAGAGTCTTGGACTGAACACATCTAAAGGCCAATATTAAGTTATAATCATAGCGCCACCTGCTGGCAACAGGAAATTACTTGTTTTACACTAACTTAAACATGCAATGTCAGATCTGCCCCAAACTTCACATGTTTGGTAAGAGTCCTGGCCTGAAAACATCAACATGCCAATATTTAGTTATAATTTATAGTGCCACCTATTGGAAACAAGAAAAGTCATGTTTTACACTAACTAAAATATGCAATGACCAATCTGCCCCAAATTTCTTGTTTGATAAGAGTCCTGGCCTGAAGACATCTAAAATTTTACATTTAGATTTTTTAAAATTCATTTTAATTTTTACAACAGAAACAGCAGTTCTAGTATCTATAGTCATATTTCTGAAAATTGCATCTCTGCTTTGTGTTAAAACTTCAAAAGTATCTGCCTTCTGGGTTTAGATTTGGGTTTCATAAAAGAATATAAAGAATCATTTGTTTTCTCACATAATTTTTATACATATGTCATATATGTGAATATATTAGTACATATTTTTAGAATGCTTAATTAAACATTTTGGTGTTCTCTGCAGCTCAAGTTCCTGATAGCGATGAGCAATTTGTTCCTGACTTCCACTCAGAGAACTGTAAGTACATCATTCCTTTTGATTTACGTCTTATTCATGAACATTAATGAACATGAAACCTGAGAGGCTGAGAAAAATTACAAAAACAAAAAGACATAGATAAAGAAGAGGAAGTAAATTTGTCCTCCAATTATTTGTCCAGAAAGTGACTGATTGACAAACTGCTGGAGGCTGAGGCGTGGAGATTTTCAGACGAACAGTCCTGTTCTCAGCCTCTGCGTAACAGAAACACACGATACATGACCTACTACACTTACACTGACGTATTTGGATGTTCATACTAAAGAGCACCTTCCATTTGCATGCGCCTGAAAGACTCAATTGAGCAGCTAAGGAAGCCGGTAAAAGATCATTCAGCAGTCAAGCACAAAGATTTCCTTTTTGTGTCTGACAGAGGTGTAAATGGGAAAGCAAATTCCTACCGCACAATGCAAAGGTCGCCTTTTCAGCTGCAATCCTTATTTTGTTGTGTCTCCTGTCAATGGCGTGCCGGGCTTTGTGGTGCATGCTCTGTAAACAGTTCCCCTTGAACCTTTTGTTACAACCATTCACAACATATTGGGTTGGGCCTTTACCCCGCTGGCAAGTCTGTTATGGTGACAATTTTTTTAAGGGTTGCAAAATTCATAGTATGAGTCATAGATCTTGTTTTTTTCAGTAACACGAACCGGGCAGTGGCTTGCTAAAAGACGCAGGGTAGTCGCAATCCCAAAACTCATGTGTGCAAACAGTGCTATAGTACCCCATTCTAGATCTGACCTCTAATGACAGATGCTCCCCATAACATATTGTTCTTGTCTGTTGTGCAACAATGAGGGGGAGGAAGTGGCGATGAACTCTGGGGCAGGAAAGGGTCATGTCTACTTAACCCCATCAGGACATGACCAATCACTTGCCAATCTTTGCCATTGACAGCCTTTTCTAATAGTCACAGAGGAGATGGGAGTTCAGGCTGACAGGCCTGTCACATTATTTAAGTGGAGCAAAGCTTTGACTGACAGCAACACCCGCCCTTTCATTTAGACATAATGGAGTAATAACTCATGAATTGGTCGCCGTTTGAGGTCGCTCATTGAAAAAAAAAAGCCTCGAGTTGACAAAGCGGCTATACACAAAAATATATTCTCCCACGTTTGTGGTCCTTATGGTGTGGGTCAGTTTATGCCACCAGCTAAGATCCAAACACAGCCTCCTCCCTATTGCTAGGTTCAAACGAAAATATGCAATGACCAATCTGCCCCAAATTTCTTGTTTGATAAGAGTACTGGCCTGAAGACATCTAAAGGCCAATATTCAGTTATAATCATAGCGCCACAAGTTGGCAACAGGGCATATTGCCCACCGTTCACTGATTTCCTAAGGCCACCGGGTGGAAGTGGCTTCGGGTGCGAGGGCCCTTTCAAGGCTGCTTGCAGCTTTAATTTGAGTCTGATCTCGGAGTTAGCAGGGGCAGAAAGGAGGAGACACAGGAAAACATAAATCCAAACTATACTAAAAAAAAAAATTTTAACCCTCAAAGTCTGCTTGGGGTCATATAAAATATTTAACATTTAATTATAAGGTTGTATTTAATATTTGAGGGACTCCAGACAAGAGTAAACATCCTCATACACACACACACATAGTCAGTTTATGCCACCAGCTAAGATCCAAACACAGCCTCCTCCCTATTGCTAGGTTCAAACGCACTAAGATTATCATGACATTCAGGTGAGTCAGATGTTTTGCTAAATCGTGCCAGCATGTTACATTTCATAACTGTTTCTTGGCCTTTTGTCTGTAAACACATGAGGGAAAACAAGATACATGGCATCAAGTGTTCACTTGTTTTGCCAGTCAAGTTGTTTCCCGTCTGGGCACGACCGTGAGTCTAAGACTCTGGGATAGAGCGGAATGCCAGATTAAAGAAGTGGGGGAGGTGCTGGACATGCTGTTGTGCAACACCTGCACATCTGGCAAATCTATCCCCATCCATCTCGTTTTTCCACACTGAGAGTCTCCATTTGGCGTAACTGTGACCTGTTTGTCATTATTGGGGATGGAACTAATTTGGTACATCCTCGGTACATAAACTGTCATTCAGAACTTGGGATATGAATGTGAAAATGATTAGTTTGACTAGTTAGGGAATCATTAACATGTTAAATGCTTTAAAAGGACTCCTCTAGACTAGACAGTGCTGTAGAAAATGAATAGCCAAAGGTAATGAATCAGAACAAGAGATCACAAAGCAAACACAAAACTTCCCATAAATTGTTAGAAATTAAAACGGTACTTTTTTTTTTTTGTCAAATAGTAATTGTGAACATGTACTTTTTAGTTTCATCCCAACAAATATAAATATCAAAAATTAAACCCTTTTGTTTCTCTTTATAGTATTGATTAGTACAGGGGGATTTTGTCCTGCTTGTAATGGCACTCAAAGAACAGGATTCTTTCTCCCATTCATGAAAATGCCCAAGAGCAGAACTGACTCCACCCTCATGGTTCCTTTTTCTGAATGGAGGTTTTAACCCCTCCCCCATCCTGTTTCCCCTCCAACTGAACTAAAATGTGATAATTTAGGCTGCCTTTTCTCTCCTGTTCTCTCTGTCTCAATGCTGAGTGTTCCAAGATGTGAGTTAATCCTGCAAGTGCTGTGTTGTGAGAGCCATTGTTTGGTTTTGTGCCTTGTTGTAATATAGGAAGTTGTGGCTATAAATCCAGTCCCAGAAAAGAGAGAAGTCTACAGGAAAAAGAGCTGGAGAGATGAAAACACAAGTGATGTGCAAAGGGATTTCTGAATTTATAGTCTCAAGCCTGTTTGCACTTCCGTTAGCTCTCTCGACGTGTCTGATATATCACTGGATTGTGCTGTCGTGCTCGACCCCCGCCCCTCCTCAAACAAAATATGCAGCTCTACAGCTCTCAACTTTCCAAAATACAGCTGCTATGCAACAAAGTCTGCAAAAACATCCTCAAGTGTGCCAAAAATGTACAGAGACCAGTCATTTTACCCCGTAGAGGGGACCAGGCTTTCCTCTTTCACTAACTTTCTGCAGTGAAACGAGCCACACGCGTACACACACACCGACGCACGCGCACATTTAAGCCCCACATTTTTTATGAATGGGCTGGTTGTGAGGGACTGGCTGAGGCAGCACATTAAGAGAAAACGGAATCTCCATTCATCATTTGGATTGACTGAGAGCTGCGCTCAACAGCTTTACAGAGATGTTTTTCTCTGCCTCTTCATCTTTTTTTCTTCAACCTCTTTCTCTTCTATTGTTGTTTCGCTCTTTTTGTCTCCTTTTCTTATCTTTGATGTTTTTTCTTTCACTTTTTGCTCTTTTTCTTTCACTTTTACTGTTTTCTTTCTTTCACTTTTTCATCCTCTCTTTCAGTTCTTAGCTCTCTTTTGCTTGCTCTTTCTAACAATTTACAATATGTATTGTATAATGAACTATTTCAATCAATTTTATTTTACAACATTTATCTCAGTTCATGTTAATTTATAAATTTAGACAACTGTTCAAAAGTTTGGGATCAGTAATTTCTTTAAAAACAAATGAAATGATGACTTTTATGCAGCAAGGATGCATTAAATTGATCAAAAGGTGACTGTAAAGACATTTATGTTACAAAATAATTCCATTTTTTAAATATTGTTCTTTTGAACTGTCTATTCATAAAGAATCAAAAAGAAAGAAAAAAAAAACATATACCATGGTATCCACAAAAATATTAAGCAACACAACTGGTTTTAACTGTGATAATAATATAAAATGTTTCCTGAGCAGCAAAATGATTTTTGAAAGATCATGTGTCACTGAAGACTACAGTAATGGCTGTTGAAAATTCAGCTTTGCCATCACAGGAATTAATTACATTTTAAAATAAATACAGGAATTAAGATAGAAAACTTTTATTCAAACTTTCATACTTTTATTCAAAAGTTATTTTAAATTGTAATAATATGTCATTATTACCGTTTTACTGTATTTTCGATCAAATAAATGCAGCCTTGCTCAACATAAAAGACTTCTTTCGAAAATTGATTAACCAAGATTAATAAATTCTATATTTAAGTATTGTCATTTTTAGTTCATAACTATTGTGGTAACTAATGTTAACATATACAATCCTGCTGGAAAGTTTTACCTTTCTTTCTTCTGAAAGTCTGAAGTCTAAAACTTTATAAGAGCAATGTTTGTTCAAAACCAGCAGTTGCAAAGTTTTAGGATGTTTTTGTAGGTGGATACATGCCAGACTGTAAGTGCCAGTAAACAGCAGCTCAGACACTTACGTAAAACATGAATTTGGAAGCTTGTGCTCCGGTCTGCTGTTGGAAGAAGTTAGAACATCCTCTTCCCAGGCTGAGGTATGGCCGCTGAGGCATTGAATGGACAGCAGTGTGTATTTTATTGCATCGGTGCGGACAGAAGCAGCGGGGCAAACACTCTATACCTACCCAGGAAATTGCCTTTTCTCCCTCCTCTCAAAGAGGGGTTTTTTCCTCCCTTCTCCTGCTTCACAGAAAAGAAACTGAGGTGGGGGCTAATGATAACAGAGCATATGTAACATAACATACACACGTCCACACACATCAGAGATTTCCAGCGCAATGCGATAGACAAGAGTTTGGAGACACAGAGTCTCTTCCAGCTAAATAGTGCAAGTCATCACTAGTCTAAATCACTTAGCTCAGTCCATTGTTTCAGCATAATCTCGCGTCAGTTCTGCTGAAACGCGACGGGCCACATCTCGTATTGAAAAAGTAATGATGGATCTATTGATCCAGGGTGATCTCAGAAGTAGATCAGGCAGCATAAGAAAAAAAAGCTTGAGTGTTTCTCTATCGCTCTGTGTATAATTAAGATATCGTCCCAGATGGGACTCGGTGAGACTGATTGAAATGTATTTATCACCGGCTTGACAGAAATTCAATGAGCAGGTGTTATCTCCCATCTCTCTGCAGGTCTCCATTCTTTACAGTAGAGTTCCTTATATAATTTCTGCAA